AAAAAAAAAAGGTAAGTTAAATTGCAGAAAGCTGTAAATTATGGACTACCGCATCCAGCCTATGTGAGAAGAGTGTCTTGTCAGCTGTGGGAACCAGTCTATCAATAAAGTATCTACAACAAAGGATGACAACAGAAATTTTCAAGCAGCTATGAAAGCTGTTAACGTACAAGAAAGGGTAGAATATACTGACTTCTAATTAAATAATAAACAAACTACAGAGATAAATGTTATATGCAAATTACAAATTAACACTTCACGAACCGGTGATTTAAATATTTAAATCACCCTGGGGACCGGCATTTTTAAACATGCTACCCTAACTTGTGCACTGCTCACTTTAAAAATTAATATAAAATCTCCTAATTAATTTTTTGAACTAAATTTTTGGAGAACACTTACCAATGCTCCTAGAAGTGCTTGAGGGTGTGATATTTCTGGAAACTTTACACAGAACTTGCAAATGTAGACATACTCCTTTTTTTGTGAACTGTGCAAACATGGCATTGCCTAGTATTCTTCCCCTTAGAATGTTCACTCTTCACAATTTTCACGAATATATTTTTCCGCATATCACTCAAGAGTCGCCCTGGGGGGTCCACATGAGGCCTTCGTGGGGTGGGAGTTGATGGGCCCAGTCATACTAAGTCTTTGTGTGACCCTGGTTCTGCCGCCACTATCTGGACTGTAGCCCAGGCCTTTGCCACATTCATCAGAAATGCTTTGTATTTCAATTTTGAATCAGGGTTTAGATGTTTTTTACATTTTTTGCTGTCCCCGCAATGTTACTATGCGCAATGTTATTACCCGCATTATCGTTGGAGCTACTGTCACTTTTACTGTCTGAAGCCATAATTCTTTGTTGTCCCCCGTCACTGTCGCTGTCTGAATGACAATTAATCCATTACTACGCGTCTCACAAGGCAGGTCAGCTAGGTCATCGGAGGAGAATTTGTCCTTGATCCATTCTCCCCACTAGCTACTGGCTGATACACAGAGCTTGAAGAAGGCGAAGCATTTTCCTTTATAGTCGGTTAAGTAAACAGCGAGGTCAAGTTACTGACTGCTAACTAAACATTCCAGAGTCTTATCACACATCTGCAGGCAGATGTATAGTGTGTTGCAACTTATCGTGTTCTAAAAACCTGTTAACACGCGAACGGTCCGCCATGTTTAAAAGCGAAAAACCTTTTAAAGGGTGCGCAGTCCGCAAAGTGTTAACTGGACAGTGCTTGATTGAAATATTAACATGGCACAGCTATGATTCTGATACTAGTTAGAGTTGCAGAAACATCATGGGCTTCATCATTATGTTAAAATTCTCAGCACACACAACCATACAATCATACACAGCACAACAGAAGCTTCCATCACTACAGCACCTTGTTAGAACCACTTCCCTTTCATATAACTAGTACTAACAGAATTTTTCAAACCTGATATACAAGCTCTTATGGCACAAACATAGCAAATGCATCAGACAAAAATGATTCACTTAGATAATTTAAGTAAGGAAATATGATACTGAACACATTCAGAAGTGCTGTAAACAATATATATTAATAACAATAAACTTACTGCAAAAGATAACATCTTTCACTTCTGTTCATAATCACACAGACCACTGCATACACACTTCAGCTCCTAGGCCAGCAGTAGGTGAATTAATCAATTTCAAAATGATTCAAATTTAAAGTGAAACTTCCTCCCAGAGACAGATGCTACTAGCTTCAAATTGGGACGTAATGTGAATTACTCAGTGCTAAATTGTAATTTTAATACAAACTCACTTTCCTGCAGAATCCTCTAGCACTGTTCTGAAATGCTCTCGAGCAAACTGGCCATACACCCGAGCTTCATCCCAGCTTTTGGTAGTCAAAGCTTTCATCAAATCAATCAGTAAATCAGTTGCCTTTTCAAATCTGCAAAGAATACATCGTATAATACACTACTAAACAAGAAACAAACAAACTCCGTAATTTTAGTCCACAAGCAAACTATACCGATCGAGCGACCACCGTTTGTCAGCGAAGTTTAGTGCAACTTTTGCAGATAGATGGTGTCGCGTGGTCAGCACAACGAATCCCCATGGCCGTTTGCTCATAAAATCTAATAACAAGCATCAACAATAAAGACATGACATAATACTTGCTGAGCAATACCAACAACAATGCAATAACTCTCCAGCTGTATAATCTGGGGGTTCAACACTGTTAACATCAAAACACATCACTGCACATAACCCTGCACCAGTAACATCCACCTCCCATCATTGCAACCTATTTCTGGGATATGACACCATATACACTTCTATACACCAGATGATGGATAGAGTCCAAAATAAGCCTAATAGTTCTATGCCACCATGTTGTTCAGCAGATAGGTACCAATGTGTTGGAAGGATCTGCTAGCTCCATTATCGTGTAGAAGAGGAACTCAAGCAGAGAAAAACTGGTATGTGACACAGGGATGGCAGGAATTGGACTAAGACCATAAGCAAACCAATCAGAACTAGTGGCCCTTGAAAGCATTGTTGTCAATGGGGAGAAAAAGAAAGAGTGTAAGAAGGAAGAAAGGAAGGTAAGAAAAAGTTGAAAAATAAATCAAAATGTAAAACATATAAAGGGAAAGAAACAAGGAAAAAGGAGTATGAGGAAGTGAAAGAAGAGAAGAAGGAAAAAAGGCCTTGAAAAGGGCAGTTATCAATGAGCCGAATAAGGGCCAGCCATGGCATTCCCGCATGGAGTAGGGGACAAGGCCAGGACAATGTTGCAAGAGGATCCCCCAAATGACAAGACGATTGGGAAGAGGCGTCGAGCAAAACTGGAAGACATCGCTGGAATGAGGAACCAAGGCTCAAGGCAGGAGCCACTTCTGGAAAGCAGGACAACACTCGGCAGGATTTTCAGGAAGACCATAGAGCTGGAGATCACAAAGCAAATAGTCAGGACTTCCATTTGACTGCAGAAAATAAATGACAGGACATTGTGGAAGTTTTGGTCCCCACCAAATCTAAAGAAGAGACCACTAACAAATTCAGAACCATAAATGTAGGAGCACTGACCACTCTCAAAACTTTTCACAGCACCAACCACAGGTACATGATGGACCGGCTGGTACCTTGAGGGAACCACTTGTGACAAACGGCCTTAAGGAGTGTGGAGCGAGTGTGGTTTGAGAGAAGTCAACATGAAAACCAAGCCACAGAAAGAAAGGTGAAACAAAGCACAGATGTCATAAGCACAGCCCTCAAAAAAGAAATAGCCTGTAAGCCATTTGGAGGAACAACCTTAATGAGGGAGGAATGTAACATGTAGTACCATTGCTATGCAATGATCACAAGAAGGAATGTGTGTTTCTCAGCAAAACATATTCCTGCAGAAACAGAATCCAGGCTATCACTAAGCAATTGCCCATAACTACAACAGAAACTGCTGAAGGCAGTGTTTTCTGTTGGTTATGCCCCGAGGCTATGTAACGAGGACCCCAGGCCAGCTGAGTGCAGTTCAGGTGAGTGAAGTGAAGTAGCTGGCTTGCGAGTAAGTTCACTTGAGGGCTGGAAGTTGAATTAACCTCTGAAAAGGAGGCTGAGAAGAGATGGCGCTATAGTTGAGTTGACAGCTGACAAAGAGTGATCCATGAACTGTGAAGATTAGCAGTGGCGCTGTAATTACTTGTAGATCCAAGTGGTGTGTACAAGTGGTCAATAAATCCAATTCACTAATCCAAACTCTGCCTAATAGTCACACCCCTAAACACGACAATATTTACTTTGGGTGCTCTAAAACTCTTACTGCAAATGTCTGTAAACATGTAAAAGCAAGAGGCCACTCACAGCCTTTTACAAACTGAACCCACAAACTGGTACTCCCTCTGGAATCTACAAACGCAACTCCTTTCACATTATTTCTTTCCTACATCTGTGCCACAATACAGTTTCATTCAGCAAACAAACTATTTTCCTGAAGGTTATAACACTGGTCAAGATTATGCATACCTGATCAAATCTTCTCTTGAAGAGAAAATTGGCCTAGTTTTAAGAACTACATACGTAGGAAATTCTACTCTTCTTGTCTTAACATAATGTAACAACAGAAGCTGCTTTGAGCTTTCTCTGTCTTCCTCATCATTCTGGTGAGGCAGGGAGAAGAGAAGGAGAATATGGTGGAAGACCTCCCTTCCCTCTGCACAGACTTTGATGCAGTGGCCAAGGACCTCCCTCAGTCTGTGAACACAATGACATTCCTAAGCAAAGAAGGAGAGAATTGTAACAATAGTAAAGAACATTGCTTCAGTATTGTATATGAACAAAGAAATCCATTGTTATTTGCTGGTATGTGATAAAAAGTCACTTACTGGTTGAAGGATATGTGACAACACATACAAAATTGTGAAACCACAATGGTGATTACATTTACCACTGTCATGAACATCAAGAAAGAAAAGTTCTGTCCGCAAGATTAAGAGATACTGGGTTGCACACTGCCACAAACATAACAGTAAATTCTTTTGGCATATTTCTGGGCATTACTCTAGCAAATATCAAGAATGACAAGACACAGACATAACTGAAGACACATCATAAATAAAAAAATTGTAGGACTCAAAGATTCATTGCATACACATCTGCACCACTGTTTGGTAGCATTTAGTCTACTGTTTTGGAGCTAGTACACAACTACATACCTGCTTTTAATAATGGATATAGAATCACCTCTTTTATTCCCACTCATGATTTGTTGACTTTTCCCATATTCTAATAAAACTTGAATCAGTTTTGGCTTGGGCTGCATAGTTGATGGAATGCGAAAAGTTCGACACAATGACCTTAGCTCGGGAACTTTCAGCATGTATAGAAGGACTTCTAATTCTTCAGAGTTATAATCTGCAATTATTTCAAATGAATCATCAAAGATAAAATAATAAAGAAAATTATTTTTTATTTCTCAAAGCAAATATAGTCACTCTTGCTTTCACAGTCTATATTTCCCATGCCTGGAACACAAAACATGAAGGAGAATGGCGCAGTTTTTAATACAGATATTAAGAGATTATGCATCATTATATTCTCTGATTACTTAATTCAAGCTCTAGATGCACTAGCATATGATGTAAAAGGAATGTAAATTAAATTAACTGATAGCATCAGGATACAGCAAAAGATTGAAGTTCTCTCCTTGCATTTCCATGGAGAGACTAGAGAAAACAATAAAAAGGCTTCAGTCAGGAGAGTGAGCTCTGAGTTAAAAGTCCAGCTTTGAATCTCCAACGCAGGAGAGCTAACCTCATAACAGCAACACTCTGTAGTGTGCAAGTCATTACATCAATAACTACAGAGCAAATACAATTTATAACCTCTTGGTGTGTGCCTATACCATCAATATCACCACGGTGTTATGCGACTGTATACATCATGGCTTTGAACCCATGTAGGGCATCATGACAACACAAACTACCGATACATTTAAATCAGAAACATCTTAATTTACAGAGTTTCAAATGATAATGGACTTAAATTATACATTAAATATTTTGTGAGTTTTGTAATTACAGAGAATTAGAAATCTTACCTCTGGCATCTCAGTACATACTATCTCTTATGCTATTTGTGATAAAAACAGAAACAAATTCATAGTAAATTCAGAGATTCATAGAATAAATACCATACAGCAAAATAATCTCCATCAGCCTCTTGTAAATTTGAGTAAATTCCAAAATGGAGTTTACTGTTTAGGAACAAAGGTCTATAATAATCTACCACAACATATTAAGGATATATCGAGTGACACTAAGAGTTTTGAGGTACAATTAAAACAATTTTTATATTTACATTCTTTTTATTCTTTACAGGAATATTTTGGTTATAAATCTTTTTAAGATGCGAGTAGTTGTCTTGCTTTACAATTAAAAGAAAACAAGATTGTCAGTCTGTGTTCTGGTTTTTAGATGCTTATTTTAGATATACACAATCTTTATATTACTGTATACTAGTCTTTATTTCAATTTATTATATAATCAATGTATGTTATACAAAACTCATTAATAACGTATTTTAACTACTGATTTTTTAATTAATACACTTGTATAAAACTTTACAAATTGTATAAGGTTTGCCACTATTTTTACTACTAAAATTAACTTATTTATTATATTGTATATGTTTATCAGTATTTTATACAAATGTGTATGCTATTAGATGACAACTGTAATCCTTAGTTGTGACTGTAACTAGGACAACCTCCACATCCGCATGAGTACTCTCAACAGGATTTATGGAAGGTGAATAAATGAAAGAACTGTGGGGCTCTCTCTTGTCAACGTGTGTGTAGTCTTGTCGCTACTCCTATGACAACCCACTTCTTCGGAACAGTTTGTTGGCCCTGGAAAGGACCGTGGCTGCTGAGATGATTGACCGGTGAGGTAGCGCGGCGAGCGCCGGTAAGGAGAAAGGCTAGTTACGGTGAATGGCTGGTGAAAAGGCTAGTCGTTGAGCGCAGTCGCAGGAGCCATGAGGCAGTGTAGCCAGAGGCCCAGTGGGTCGGACCGTAACACGACCACCGGCGAGTCCAGGCGCGGTGCCCCAGTGAGTCGGGTGTGAGAGCGCTGGAGGGCCGAGGCAGTCGTGCCCGGCGCAGCCTGCCGATGTCTCCGAAGACCGAGCGCTGGCGACGAAGCCTGCTGGCTGAAGTTGCTTGCTGTGTGGCTGACTATACTGCCGAACTGAACTGAATATCTCGGCTTTGGAGTCGCTCCTTTTTATACGCTGGTCGGTGGGGCGGAGCCAAACTCGAAAGTGAGGAGCAAGAATTGATTGGCTAGCGCGCATAATGACGTAGATGCGGGCCAGGAGCGATCCCAGTATAAATATGAACGTTTGAAGCAATCAGATTGGTTAGCGCGTGTGATGGTGAAAAGTGATGTGAAGAGCGAGCGTTGCAGAAATGCGCGATAATGTGGGATGCTCCCACAGAACCCACTGTCAGGGGGTAGACAGAATGGATGCATATATTATACCTCACCAGTAGAAGTGTGAACATTTTCTCCATGAAGGTGTGATATAAAAGCCTGAAACTAATTCATAATGTGTATGTATTAACAGTCTTCAAGTACATACAATCCCATTTCCCACTTCCACACTACATGTTTCGGCAGTATGCTGCCATCTTCAGGTGTATCGATCCATCAACCATTTCACTGCTTGCCTTTATATGTCCATTTACAAATAATATTAAATTTGTATACGTCCTTATATAATAATAAAGTTTATGTATTTAAAACTTGTTAAAACCTATTATCTCATACGTCATATTTTAAATTTGTGTATGTTATTGATCATCCACATGGGGGTCGTTCTTCTTATGTTTCTAATGTTATGTGTATATTATGTCTTATGATGTGTTCTACTCTTGTGGCTGCGTGCGTTGTATCATTGGACGTGTCTAACGATAGTGTCTAGTCTATCAATATCTGAGCTGTCCAAGAAAATTTATAGTTCCAGAGAATCAATTAAAGGAATTCACAAACAATTACGTATATTAAAACTCCATGGACCTCAACTGAGACAAAATTATACACACCTGACATAACTAAGCCCAACACTTCAAGTTCAATGAAAGCTGCAGGCACGTTAATATCCTCATATTTGATATCTGATACACGGTGCCAGGTATATTTCCTGCTCAACATTCGGATGTAGAGTTTCTTCACCTGAGTCTCCAGTTTCCAAAAGCTGGTTACTATCTTCAGTTCCTCCTCACTGATAAGACATAACATGTCTCTGTCCTTCAAAACTTCAGCAATTATAGCCTCAAAATAGGAAACATATTCCTTTGAGAAGGAAAATTCAGATACTGAGCTCTGATTTTTTGGCTCGGTTGATGGAAGAGAACCTGACTTTGTCTCAGTGTTACAACTGCCAAATTTCAACGTTCTATTCACATCAGGTTTATTTGGAGATGTGGTTCTGTACCTCCCACTATGTGGTGAACGGTTATTTATCATATATCTTATAGGCGAACTTTTGCTCAGTTTCTTGGTTGGTGATCTCTTTTGTGGAGTCTTCTGTCCAGCCATCAGGATCTCAAAACTGTTATGTTTAGTCAGTGAGAATTTACTGGGATGTTTAGAGATTTCTTGCGACAGTTTAAAATTTTCTGACTGAGGATGGGTTGTCTCTGACTCAGTGATGGTTATAACAGGTTCCATCACATCTTCTTGTGCATGACACAGAGCTGTAGAGCTCTGTTTATGTGTAGCAGATGTACTTCCTATACAAGCAACAGAACTACCTGAGGAAGACACAGTACCATTTGTAGAGGTGCAACTTGATTTTTTCTTCCGCTTCACTTCTGGCGAAATACCAGCTTCTTTCCCTTCACTTCTGAAACCTGAACATAACAACAAACCATGGACACTCTGATCATGTGTTGCAGACTCACCTCCTTTACAAGTAACTGAGACACTAGTAGTGACACGTCTACTTTCAGACATTACATCTGGACTGTGCACTGATGCGTTATTAATTGTGGAAGTCAAATTTGTTTCAATTTCTTTGTCTGATGAGTGGCTACAAGGCTCGTTTTCATTGCTCTTAACATCCATGAATAATGCTGCAATATACTTATGCAGTTGATCCACTGTCAATTTCACCTTCGTATCTGGTGGAGGTGATGCTTCATTCTGTGTTGTCTTCCTTCTTTCCAATGATGAATCACTATACAGAACTGCAGTTTGTTTGTCTGATGTTGATGTTGAGGGAACTTCAATGCTCTTTGAAAAATTACATTTTACAGAGTCTCCTCTCATGCATAAGGATAAGCAGCCCTTGCTGCTATGAGGCTCGCACTCTGCAATGGGTCCTTTCACAGTATTAGCCTCCTTGTGTGACAGCACAGTGTTACACACATCTGATGGTAATGTAACAGATTCCTTTTCTGTGATTAGTGTTGTGAATGTATCTGTAACATTGAGAACATGCGTTGGTCTCCTAGGTTTCTCTTGATTCATGTTTGCTGCAGGCTTTAATGCAATAAAGTCTGAAGAAGAGTTAGTATTACATTCTTGCTTGCTTCGTGACACCTTTAACCAAGGCTTTTTCTGTAAGACTGCAGAAAGTTCACAAATAGATATATTTGGTTGCTTGAAACTAATGTTTTCTTCCAGTTCAGACTGGGCATTTCTCTCCTTCTCCATATGTGACAGTGAACATGATATTACACACTGCGAAACAGAATTTTCTGAAGGTTTAATTACACTATTGTCCTTATTGGTTTCAATCTCTCCTGCAAGCATTTTAGATGGTGAACCTACAGAATGTTCAAAATACAATCCAGACTGCCTGTTGTTCTTTATATTGTTTAAATTTGTTCTTGTAGGTACTATACCTTCCTTTTCATTCTTCTTTTGTGAGGACTTTGGTCTGGAGAGGGTAAGTTTATGACCTGAAGACAATGCAGACTTATTTCTCTTGCCTGATGTTGCAGCTTGTGGAATTTCATTTTTGCCTGTAGTAGTAGAGTTGCAAGCACTACTTTTTCCTGAGATCAGTCGTACATCTTGGCTTGTGTTCTTCAACAAAATGCTTGGGTCTTCTAATACCACCTCTCTGATGGTAACTGCTTTTACTGTATTCAAAAGAATCTTCTGTTTATTTTCTGGTTTTGAAATTTCACTATTGGTTATAATTTTAATATCCTCTGAAGAAAATGTTGTAGTATTATTATAGATCACTGTATTCTGGCAGATACTACTTGAGAGGCCAGTATTATTACGGCTATGATGGCTCTTATGTTGTACTGGTAGGCACATAGCTGCTTTTGCTGTTGTGTCATTGCAAGCTGACAAATCTGGTACCCTACTTACACGTTTCTTGTACCGTTCTTGATGTAACTTTTTTGCTTCATTTTTTAATCTTTCTGCAGCACCCGGTGATATTCTTCGAGGCACGATTTTGTGACTAATAATAACTATGTCATCATCAGAAGATTTCTTCTTCACGTGATCTTCAGTTCCAGGTGCCATGGTTTCCTTTTCATTTTGGAATACTGAAATGTTCCCCCTTTCTACTCCACTGACAGATGTGTTCTGCATTTTAGTTCCATCTTTTATTATCACTATGTCTTCTTTTCCACTCTGCAGTGAACCTGCATATGTGGAAGATAATGTCTGAGAAAAAATTTTAAAAGGTTTTTTGCTTATACTGAGAGGCAACACACCTCCATCTGACATAGATTTTTTGGTTCTCTGTGATTCCTGTATATTAGAGGTCAATGTTCCATCACTGGAGCTACATACAATATTTTCCATGTTACACAGTGTTAGACATGCTATTCAAAATGTAAGAATTGTTGCTTTAAGCAACAATTTACTACAGCAAGTGTTGTTTCAGCTCCCCCATCTGAAACAATACAATTGTTAATTAAAGCCCTCCAACATGAACAGAGTCATAATTATAAAATTAAAGGTAGCCATTCAGTAGTTGATTTAGTTTGAAAAACCATAGTGTTCTTGCACCAGCATATCATTTACATCGATATGATATTGCAGTCTGTTAAAAATGACTTTCTCGAAAATCTTAGAAAAGGATGTCATCAAAGATATGGGTATATATCAGAACTGTCACCCTTTTTGTAGATAGGATTAATTTGAGAATACTTCAAGCGGTCTGGAAAAATACCGAGGCTCAGTAGTTTATTACATACATAAGTTAATGGAGACAGAATAAATGGTAGACTTCTTTTTAAAATATTTTGCGGATTTTCTCATCATATCCATGTGAACTCTTCGATTTTAAAGATTCAATTATGTCTTTAATTTCACTGGTGGTTACTGGAGTCATAGTTATATTAGGGAATGGATGTTGAAATACCTTGAAGCAATAGTTTAAGGAATCCACGACCTTAGAGGATGGGCTAGGTTGAGTTTGGGGTGCCAGGGCAGAAAAATAATTATTAATAGTATTAGCTATTATTTGTACATTGTTACACAGTTTACCATAAATATTTATACTTGGGACTGAATAATTAACAAGTCTGGTATTGGTGACAGTCTTAATTTTGTTTTTAGAGTTAGAAATTAGCTTATTATAGAATGATCTTTCTGCTTCCTTTACAACCTCAGTTAACACCTGTATTGCTCTATGCTCCGATACAGATTCTTTCCCTGTCACATGCCACAATTACTAATACGGCACAGAACAAACTACATTTGTTATTAACGCTGGATTCACTTTTTTAAACAACTATTGGTAATAACCGCAGTTTCAAACGCGTATGTCATACACTCCTTCCTACCAACGCTATCAACACGATCAACACCAACCATCACAAGCGATAACAAACTCATCATTATCGGTGAGCTACTTGGCCGCGGTGACGTAACGATCACATTACTGCTGCCATCTCTACGCAGACGTCTGCTAACTAATTAAGAAAAAGCCTCCAGCGCCGACAGAATGATCCATAAAATAGAATGCTACCATGCTACCCTCATTATATTCCTTCGGTTATTTCATTATTTTGGCCACATAATTATTTCAGTATTGAACTTGGAAGCATGTATAGTTCAAGATTATGAGGTTTGTCATAGTTCTGCAATTATTTTACTGCTTTTCATATATTATTAAATGCAATCGTAATCTTGTTGGCAAGAGTGTATTTCAGATTCTCGAGTTTCGTCACATTATTGAAATTAATAACGGATGGAAACCTGAGTATCATTGCTTGTTATGCATGATTTATAATATATTAAGGTAATTGAAAAAAAAACTGTATTCTGTGTAGCACGTAAGTGTAATTCGCTTAGTGGAGGGTGGAGTCAAACTGGGTCCACTTGGAACGGCGCCCACTGATTGGCCTATTGTAGCCTGCCCCGGGTAATTATAATGATGAAGAATTTGGTGGAATGAAGATTAGCAGGGGAAACCGAAGTACTCGGAGAAAACCCGCCCCAGCGCCACTCTGTCCACCACAAATCCACCTTGAACAGACCCGGGATTGAACCCGGGCCGCCGCGGTGGGAAGCATTTAACTGTAAGTTGTAAGCAACGTTATGAAATTACATAGAGGTATCTGTATTCGTCCGATAATGAGAGTTGTTTGAGGTTTACTATCGGAAATGAAGTAAAACTGTTCTGAGATATGAGAGAGGTTTGTGATAGCAAATACGAGTATTTCACAAGTTGCAGAGAAATGGTTTGTAAGACGGAGTTACGGTAGTAATACGTGTTTGGTTCATTCGTCACTGGACAGATGAGTGAAGATGGAAGTGGTCAATAACGACGTCAGCTGCAGACAGATTTGATAATAATCTTTAATAGAGTGACGAATCTCGGCTTCACAGAGCGGCCTTGCTCGCTGATCCGTCTCTTCAGTTGCCTACAGCTGCTGGACTCTTCTCTCTATATTTGTTTTCTATGTCATCTTCTCTGAAGCTATTAATAAAACAGGTAATGTATACGTGAGTAAACCCTCTTAAATCGAATCCTGTACAACAAAAATGTAAGTTATGTTAATGTGCCAATGGCTTATTCGTCTACGAATAGCAACGGAAGTGTGAAATACAAAGATGTATTATTTTGCTTATCTCCCTGGTCTTGATGTTATTCACTGCAGAGACAAAGAAATTCGGATGAGAATATATTATTGCAAAACTGATCACACTAAATAAAACCTTCTTTGGCTTCATCTACTAAACATAATTTTCAAGAATTTAATATACGTGCTGAATTCTCATTATAGTCCCAACGAAGGTATTTTTTTAAATTATATATACAGTGGAACCTCGCTTAACGAGCATAATTCGTTCCAAAATCTTACTCGTAATGCGAAACACTCGTTAAGCGAAACAATTTTTCTCATTTAAATTAATGTAAAATACGATAATGCATTCCATGCCGAA